CCCCCGGCTCTCCCCCCTTCCCGCGCGCCGCCCCCTACTCGCGCGAGTTCTTTTGGGCTGGCCTCTGAGCCTGGAGTTTCGGCCACAACACGCAAGCGCGCGACATCAGTCCCCGGGGGGGAGCCCGACCTCAGCTGGGGGCTCGGCCGCCTCCTGTTCCCCAGAAGTCGCCCCCGCCTAACCCGGGGCCACCCAAACCGCATCGAGTCTTTCTCCACACTGCGGAACTTTTGCTGTGCAACCAGCCGTGAATCAACTTCTAAAAATTTAAATGCAACTTTCTCGTCCATTCTTTTTCCTTGCCAGAGTTTCAAAGCAGGGAAGCTATTTCCACCCCCAGAGTAGAAGGGTCAGAAACCAGGGAGGATTCTCTCAGAATAGGCTTTGAAAATCTCTGTTCACTTAAAAACAAAAGGTACGTGTGGGGCATAAACTGTTAAAATTAAAGAACAGAGGTTGAAGTAGCCTGCCAACAAAAGGAGAAAAAGAGGCCAGAGAAGGGGATCGGACTGGGTTGCTAAGAGAAAAAGGTTCCCTTTTAACGACCTAACTTGAATTGGACAACGTGGAAAGATGAACATGGGCCTCAAATCCGCATCATAAACGAAGCGTATTTGTCTTACCTTGGAGCTGGCATTGCCCTAGCTAAATTGTTACACATTTCTTGGAGGGAGAGAAATTTTCTGGAAATCCCAAACTAATATTGAAGTTAATTGCATGCACTTAATTAGTGCATTTGTTAATTCTCCAAGAGGGCCTTAACCCTTATTTCTCAGATGTTAAATTTGAGTGTAAGTAAATTCCTCGAAGCTTTAAAACCAGGTATTCTTCCTTCTCTTGGCTGGTATATTTTCTGTGAAGGAGGAAGACCTATCTTTTCCTCACCCATCACTAGGCTCAGGGCTGAAGTCCCTAAAGCAAAAGACAGATTAAACAAGAGAAAAACATACTAATTTATTTATGTAAGTTTCACATGGAATCTTCAGAGATGAAGACCCAAAGTAACAGGGAAACCTGTGTATTTTTTAAGCTAGGTTTGATAAAGAAGTTGATCGTCATGGAGACTGGACAGAGCTATATAATGTAATGGTAATGAGCTGGGGGACCTAGCAAGGCCTGTTTGTTCAGCATCTTCTCTGTGTCCTATGTCTTCAGAGATAAGAATGTTCCTTTCTTCCAGGAACAGGGAAGACACCTCTGGAATGAGTGTTTTATGATCTGCTTCAGGGGAGAAGGTGCAGGGAGAGTGACAGTAACGTTCTTGGTTTATGCTGTTTTCTCACATGCCAAAGTGCCATATTTTAGGGTAGGAGGTCTGAACCCCATCAGTTCTCTGACACCTCTCTCTTCATTGAAAAATCCATCTGTTGACACAAATACCTGCCTTCCAGGCAACTTCTGTAGATGTCCTAGAGAATTTTTAGAACTATTGTAGCATTCACTTGAACTCTGTGTCATGGAACCTGAGTATCCCAAGGGCAAGAAAATAAAATCTAAGTCACGGTATTTTTTAACCAATGGTATCCAGAAATTTGGGGAGCAATTACAAGCAGTTAAATAATTTGCATTCCTTAGGATTTGGACAAATAATCTAATTTTAAAATGGGGGTAGAGATTTGAATATTTCTCCAAAAGAGATACCGAAATAACCACTACGCATATAAAAAGGTGCTCAACATCATCCGTCATTAGAGAAATACAAAACAAAAAGATACCCACTTTACACCCACTAGGAGAGCTATAATTTTTTAAAACCCAGAAAATAACTCCTGTTGAAGATGTCAAAAAATGAGAGCCCTCAAGTATTGCTGGTGGGAAGGCATTAAATAAAATGGTGTTGCTAATAAAGAAAACACTGATAGTTACTCAAAAAATTAAACATAGAATCACCATATGACCCAGCAATTTTACTCCTAGGTGAAATCCAAGAGACTCGAAAACCCTACGGTGGGCTTGGCACCCGTGGTTCAAGCGGCTAAGGCGCCAGCCACATACACCTGAGCTGGTGGGTTCAAATCCAGCCTGGGCCCACTAACAACAACGATGGCTGCAACCAAAAAATAGCCAGGTGTTGTGGTGGATGCCTGTAGTCCCAGCTACTTGGAGGCGGAGGCAAGAGACTCGCTTGAGCCCAGGAGTTGGAGGTTGCTGTGAGCTGTGAAGTCATAGCACTCTATCCAGGGGGACAGCTTGAGGCACTGTCTAAAAAAAAAAAAAAAAACCCTATGGTCACACAAAAATGCATACACAAGGGGCGGTGCCTGTGGCTGAGTAGGGCACCAGCCCCATATACTGAGGGTGGCGGGTTCAAACCTGACCCTGGCCAAACTGCAACAACAACAACAACAAAAATAGCCAGGTGTTGTGGGGGGCGCCTGTAGTCCCAGCTACTCAGGAGGCTAAGGCAAGATAATTGCCTAAGTCCAGGAGTTGGAAGTTGCTGTGAGCTGTGATGCTACAGCACTCTACCAAGGGCAATAAAGTGAGACTCTGTCTCTAAAAAAAAAACATGCATACACAAATGTTCACAGCAGCATTATTCATAATACCTAAAAAGTGGAAACAAGCCAAATGTCCATCAACTAATGAATGGATAAACAAATGTATATTTATGCCATGGATGAAATGTTATTTAGCAATAAGAAGAAATAAAGTACAGTATGGATGAAATTTGAAAACTTTATGCTCAGTGGAAGAAGCCAAACAGAAAAGGCCACACATACTGTACAACTCTTCGGGGTATGCCCTAGATAGGTAAATCCATACAGCCAGAACCTTAGGTTTCCAGGAGCTGGGGAGAACAGATTAGAGAGTGACTGCTAAGGAGTACGGGATTCCTTTGGAGGGTGATGGAAAAGTGATGTTAGATGGTGCTGATAGTTGTGTAACTTTGCAAATATACTAAAAACCATTAAATTGTACATTTTAAAATGGTATATTTCATGACATGTAAATTTTATTATAAAAAGAGAAAAAAACATATAAAAAAATGTTATCCTGTGTTGTTGGTAAGGATGAGATCAACCAGAAACCTCATGAACTGCCAGAAGAAGGCTTAATTACTCTAACATTTTGGGAGGACAGTTTAAAAGAGCACATCAAGTACTTAAGTTTCAGAGATTTGAATAGCATTTCAACCAATGGTTTTGGTGCAAAAAATTTATTCCACAGAAATAATCATGGATATACATGAAGATTTAGCAACCTGGGTGTTCAATGTATCCTTGATTATGAAGAGGAAAAATGAGAAATGATTTAAATAATCCATGTGAGCAAATTACATTCATTCAAAGTAATATATTCCATGTCACTGTATAGACAGTTTTGTGGGATCATGCATAACTCCCATTATAATTTTCCCATTGTAAGCATGGGACAATGCTTACAATATTGCTTTTTTTTTTTTTTTGAGACAGTCTTACTGTGTCACCCTCGGTAGAGTGCTGTGGCATCACAGCTCACAGCTACCTCTAACTCTTGGGTTTAAGTGATTCTCTTGCCTCAGCCTCCCAAGTAGCTGGGATTACAGGTGCCCTCCACAATGCCCAGCTATTTTGTTTGGTTGTTTGTTTGATTTTTGCTTGTAGGTATCATTGTTGTTTGGCAGGCCCTGGTTGAATTCAAACCCACCAGCTCCTGTGTATGTGGCTGGCACCCTAGCCGCTGAGCTACAGGCACCGAGCCAATATTGTATATTGTTAACTGAAGGAAGTACATTACAAAAATGCATAATAGTGTCACATTTATTTACATACACTCCCATATACATATTAGACTGAGAAACAATAAAGTGTTAGTACCACCAGTGTTGCCCCTTCTCAAACAAAGTCAAAAGATGGGGGTGGTGCCTGTGGCTCAAAGGAGAAGGCGCCAGCCCCATATACTGGAGGTGGCAGGTTCAAACCTGGCCCCAGCCAAAAACTGCAAAAAACAAACAAACAAGTAAAAAGATGAAGGATAAACTGAGAAAATGTGGAGTGTCTGCAACTTTAAAGCTAATCTTCTTATCCTGGCACAGGGGCTCACACCTGTAACCTTAGCACTTTGGTAAGCTGAAGTGTCAGGACTGGTTGAGCCCAAGAATTGACAGCTAGCCTGAGCAAGAGCGAGACTCCTTCTCTACAAAAAAAAAAATAGAAAAAACTAGCCAAGTATGGTGGCATGTGCCCATGGTTCCAGCTATTTGGGAGGCTGAAGCAGGAAGATTGAGCACAGGAGTTTGAGGTTATAGAGAGCTATGATCAGGCCACTGGATTCTAGCTTAGGAAACAGAACAAGACTCCGCCTCAAAACAAAACAAAAACCAGCTAATTTTCTAAATTAATAAAGAGATCTCAAATATTGGTGAAGAAATAAGACCTATGGGCAAAGTTGCGTGAACAGATAGTTCATAGAAAAAAATATATAAATGGTTTTTGAACATGTGAGTAAAAGAACTTAAACCTGGAATGAGATATCTTGTTCTTCTAGTCAGATGGCACAAAGAGCTTAATAAATATAGCATTACAGAGAGTGAAGAAACAGGTACTCTCACTGCTGGTGGGAGGTCAAGTTGGCAATAGCTTTCAATATTTTGGGATAAGTATACCATTAGATTCACAAATT